CACACACACACACTCTCACACACACACACACACACACACACACACACACACACACACACACACACATGTGTCATACAGATACTGAGAGTCAGACGCTTCATTGATGGATGACTGAGAGTGTGCTTTAATCAGACACAGTTTTGACTGCTTGACTGGAATGTGATGTGTTTTCAAGTGAATAATCAACACAAAAAAAAAACTGTAGGGTGGGACCATTTTATAGTTTTGGGTCCCGTTGATTTCATTGTATGGTCAAAAAGTATAATGGAGCCCAGGGTTTCTGCAGGTGTTGTGAAGGTACATTTAAGACTTTTTAAGAAACCCTGGACTCAAAACTGTTTGGTTTACCAACATTCTTCAAATCTACCCTCGTCTTGTGTTCAACAGAAGAAAGAAACTCATAGGGCTTTAGAACAGGTTTGTTCAAAAGGACATTCAAACCTATAGAATGTAATTGAACATTAGACCAGGAAAGAAACAAATGTTGTCAATATTAATGCTAGAAATCAACGAATCTGCTCAGAGAATATATTTCAACCACTTTCCCTTACAAAATATTACAAAGCAGCCATAGCTACCCAACTATCAATCACGTGTTTTAAGAACGTTTTGTTAACATTCCCACCAAATTATGAAAGCATTATTCTTGAATGTGTTCAAAACGTCCAGTTATTTTAAATGTATTAAGAATGTTTTTTTCTTCAATGAACATTAAAGCAAGATTCCATTCTATTGTTTTTGACAGTAAAACGTTACATTTGAATGTTCTCGCAACATTTCAAACACCCATGTTTTATATTTAAAGACCATTCCTTCTTGGCTAAGCAAACGTTAGAGGAATATTACATTTGAAAAGCCATTAAGAAAAACGTTAAGCATTCAAAACACACACACACACACACACACACACACATATATATATATATATACTATATATTAAGGACGTTTTATGTGAACAAGTTCTGAGAACATAACATCGTGAGGACGTTCCGAGAACATTTCCTTTCCTTTGTATATCAAATATTAATAATGTTACAAGAACATTCCATAAACAGTCAATCTTATTTACATAACCGTTAAAAAGCAGTACTGAAATGTCCCTGTTAGCTGAGCAGTCCACACTGAATGCCTGGAAACCGAGTGTGTATATTTAGACACATTCATAAAAACATTTTCAAAAATTGATGCTTTGATTTTAACACCCATGCATCAGATCAAAGGTTATCTGAGCGTATCTCTACAGCCTGAAACAACACGAACATGCTGAAGGGCTCGTTTCAAAATCAACCAGTTACTGCCTAAAGCATGCACAATCCTAGTGAACACTCGTGCATTTCTTACAAAAGCCAAATATCCCGAGCGAATAACGCACAAGATCGACCTGTGTTAATGAAACGAGCATAAAGACAGTCTGTCTGAAGGCCAGTCCTCTGTCCATGAGGGACCCTGATGCTGCCACTCAGCTCATGAATAACCCGCCACCATCCCGAGTCTGCAAATGCATTGCACACGATTTATTGATCCCGAAACACGACATGCATGCTTCATTTCGAGCGCTCTCGCAGCAGGTGAAGGCAGTTTGTGACCTTGCAGATGTTCTGATCTAAATGTGTTATTCTGGGTTTCTTTCTCAAAGCTGTCCTCGAGATCTCAGAGATCAAGACGCCGTGTGTGTCTCGAGCGCATCTGAGGATGGAGAAGCGTCGGGAGGAAAATCGCATCATTTACCTGTAGAAGATATCAGCCGTGTTTCCACCCAAATCACCGCATTTTCAGCAGCTCCTTCCTTCTGGTGACCCAAATAGATCAGTGGGCATCAGATCCTCCCTCCTCAGGACCTCCGATGCGCTTCCAGATGTCCATGACCGAAGCGCAGACGAGCAGCTAATTAAACGCCGTTCTGTAATGTATGATCTGCTCATTAGGATTCTCCTTTAATGAAACCTCAGACAGAAGCTCGAGCCGGGATCGCCTCTCCGCATTACGCCTGCATGCACCCAAATCTCCAATCCTAGCACGGCGAGGGCTAGGCTCATGAATATTAATTAGGTCATGCTACAGCCTTCCAATTGAACGGCGCGCTTTGGAATATTAATCAAACACGCTGACGTTGAGATGTAACCCTCCTATGGCGATGGATTGTTCTGGTATAAGATTTTTTCTTTATTTGGTCATATGTGTCCCTGGAGCACAAAAGCAGTGTTAAGTCGCTGGGGTATATTTGTAGCAATAGCCAACAATACATTGTATGGGTCAAAATTATACATTTTTCTTTTATGCCAAAAATCATTAGGATATTAAGTAAAGATCATGTTCCATGAAGATATTTAGTAAATCTCCTACCGTAAATATATCAAAACTTAATTTTTGATTAGTAATATGCATTGCTAAGAACTTCATTTAAACAACTTTAAAGATTATTTTCTCAATATTTAGATTTTTTTGCACCCTCAGATTCCAGATTTTCAAATATTGTCCTATCTTAACAAACCATACATCAATGGAAATATTATTTATTCAGCTTTCAGATGATGTATAAATCTCAATTTCACAAAACGGACTCGTATGACTGGTTTGGTGCTCCAGTGTCACATATCTCTTGGGTTAAAGCATGGAAACGGCCAAATAAGTTTTGTATCAATAACAAAATTAAGGAAGTGTCGTACAAAATACTTCATGGAATTTATCCTGCTAAGCATGTTTTGGACAGATTTAAGCTTAATATTTCATATAGCCTACCTGTGAATTTTGTGGTCAAGGAAAAAAAATTATTTTGCATCTTTTTTTTTCATTGCCTATTTACTCAAGATTATTTTGGAAGGATTTGGAATTCTATATTAGCAGAAAAAATGAGTGTATGATAGAAATGTTTATATTTGATGTGCTTTTTTTATACAGAAAATGAAAATTTGAATTGTAAAGAACAACATATTATAGATTTGTTTATTTTATTAGGAAAATACCTTATACATAAGAAGAAGTGGGCTCAATGTAGACCAAATATTTCACATTTTAAATGACTTTAAATTATATGTAAATCTTTTGCAACAAACAAAACAGCACTGAAAACATGTAATGCTCTGAAAGCATTGAAATGTATGTAATTTTCTTCCTTTCTTTTTTCTCTGGCAGCTAATGTTAATTTGATCATGTGAATTTGTAATACCGCTTGTTCTTGTGGCATTGAATTAATAAAGCATTAAAAAAATGATTCTTATGGTATATCAGATATTGTATTGTATATTTTTTTTAATATTCTATATTTTTAACACTACCTCTTTGTGTTCCAATGGCGAAGTAGGCTATATATTATTTTAAACCGTTTTGTTTTTATGTATTTTATTGTATAATACTGTAACATTATTATATTGTTATATAACATTAATTTGAAATGGTTGACGTAATGTTGTTGTTGTCTAATGGGAAAGCGCGCCTCTAGAATATTAATCGAGCTCGCTGACGTTGAGCTCTCACCCGCCAATGGGAGGTCTGGCCTCATGAATATTAAGTAGCAAGCCTTCGCCGTAGTAGGGTTGGTAAATTCGCCAGCGGTTCGTCAGAGAAAACGCCTTTGTGGAGACGGAGCGAACAGTCCGGTGTTTGCAGATGGCTGTGATTGTGATGGAGCAGGTCTGAGATCAGTCTGTCTCTAATGCAATGAAACATGCATGCACAATCTGTGCAAATGTGGCATTTTCTGTCAGCGCACCTGCATCCTCATATTAAAGTCAACAGCACAGCAGAAGATAAAGAAGACTAATATATACTTTATTTGGCTTAAAACAAAGGTTTGCAGAAGGTTTGCATTCAAGTAGGCTATATGTAAATGGAGACCAGTGTTCATGTTATGTTTTAAATGTTGTACATTTATAAAAGTTATTTATTGCAATTTCTTTCATTACTGTTTCATAGTTGTTTTACAGTTTTATTCAATTTGTTTCCTTTTTATTTATTATACAATTAACAAAAAGGCAAAAAAACAAAAAAAAGAAAGAAGAAGCTTGCTCTACTCTTTTTATCTTCTGTCTGTTTTCTTTTTATTTATTATATAATTAAAAAAGCTACGTGTACTGCGTTAGGCTAACTGAGACTTGTCATAATTCAAAGCTAAACAAGATTATTTTTCTTGCTCCATTGGCAGATATTTTTGCTTGTTTTATAGAAAAACGAACAAAATTTTGATATTTTTTACAGAAAAAAGACAATATCTTGAGTCATTTTACTTGTACAGTAAATTCATCTTGATTCAAGAATGTTTAGATATTTATACTAGAAAACAAGACAACAATACTAAGAGAATCTTTTTTTGCAGTGTAGTAGATTCTGAAGGAACAGTGTCTGAAGACCTACAGACATATTTTAAGCATGTTTAATGCAGGGATCACATTCGTCTAAATCACAAGAATGGGTTGAGTCTGCTTTATCCGCTCTTGTTCATGAGGAATTGCTCATATGTGAGGGAATCTGCCTGCTGGCCGCTGCTGCTCTTCATCTGCAGGAAAACTGTCCTGTCATCATGAAGAGGATCCGCGACGCTCCGATTCCAGAGCGGCTCTGAGACACCCAGCAGCACTCTGACCTGAGCCGAGATCAGCTGAGAAACAGTAGACATGTGTGAGTGTGTGTGAGTGTGTGTGTGTGAGTGTGTGTGTGTGTGTGTGTGTGTGTGTGTGTGTGTGTGTTACACTGATGTCTGCACTTACTAAAGATCATGTGACTCAACGCCATGATGCTAATGAGCTTCTGGGTGGTTGTTAGGGCGTTGCTATGTGTTTTAGTGTGTTTTGAGTGGCTGCTATGATGTTGTTACTGTATGTTTCTTAATGTGTTCTTCTGTTTGATAAATTGAATTGCCCAGTATTTTCAGTTTAAATCTCAGAATGCATTTTCCAGTATTGTAATGTGATTATGTGGGAAGAACGTTACTTTAAATTAAAAATGGCAAAATCAAATAATGACTAAGTGTGTTGCATGAAATGAGTTTCATCTGTTTGTGTGCTGGGTGCTTTACCTTCATGTGCTGGAAGTCGGTGATTCCCAGTCGTGGCAGGTTGAAGCAGTTGACATTAATTAGTTTTCTGCCCGTGATATAATTCTGAGTGAAACACGCCTGAGGAAGATAACGACTGTAATGAGTCCTGAACACATTCTCAGTGTGCTTTGAACACAGCGCTCAACAGTGTTGGGGAGTAACTAGTTACATGTAACGCCGTTACATAATTTAGTTACCAAATAAGGTTACACTTTATTTTAAGGTGTCCTTGTTACAGTGTAATTATACATTACTGAGTACGGAGTAATATTAATTAAATACATGCACTTACTATATGGTTAGGGTTAGGATTAGGGTATGGTTTAGGGGTACTTGCATGTAATTATGCATAATTAATTGTTATTATAATAGTAAGTACATGCAACATGTGTAACAAGGACACCTTGTGATGTAATTTATGTAACTGTAATCAGTTACAGTTACTGAGGAAAAAAGTGTAGTTAAATTACAGTTACTTATGAAAATGTTAACGATTACAAAGTTGGGGAACATCTGAATATTTTCACACACACACAGATTTGATTTATTTCTTTCCCAAAATGCATCGACTGCTCTAAAATATGAGACCGCAATGTTTCAGGAGTTTAGGACACGCTTATTCAATAACTGTTTTATTTCCTGTTTGCGTTTGTGTATATGCTTTATTTTTCAGGATTAACTGTTTTTTCCCAAGTTTTTAGCTATGCAAAGTATCATAGCTATTAAACTATTTCTTGTTATGATTTTAAATTTGTATTTAACCTCAGAACGATCTCAAAGTAAAAAGAGCTGCTAAAGTCTGATTTTGTGGTGCCTGTGCTTTAAAATTAAATTATTATCATCTTAATTCAAGTGAAGAAGGTGTGACAGTAATCAATGTTGAATACTACTGTAAGGTTAACTCTGCCTGCTTTAAATGTTTAAAAAATGATTAACAGTTTAGAAAAAATGTAATAATTTAAATTTAGTAAAGTAATCAGATGTAATCAGTTACATTACTTTAATAAAGTAACTGAAATAGTTACACTCCTTGTTACATTTTAGATTTTATCTGTAACCTGTTACATTTCCACAGTAACCTTCCCAACACTGCTGCTCAACATGGCTTTCCAGGAGAATCTGTGCTATATTTCAGCTGATGCTAGTATGATGATTGTAATGAAATCTAAAGATCAGTGATCTGAGATCACAGACCGCATCGATGTGATTTCACTCAGACGGAGTCTTATTCTGGGTGGTGTCTGGCATGAAGGCAGCAGATATTGCTGATGAAGGAAAGCAGGCACTTTTCTTACATGATGCTAACAAAGCACAACTGAACAGCAGTTCATCACAGAACCCTGCAAAATGAGCAGATCATCTTCTAACAGGGAGGAGAAATGCTTCCTATAGCTGTAGAGGTCAAAGGTCGTGTGTCCAGTCAAACTCTACAGTATTCATCTGTCATCTGTGGCATCTAGTCAGATCTGATGATGAAACACGGACAGGTTGTGTGACGCTCTGATCCTCAAAAACATGAACTAAATGACACAAGCGTCTGAAACGTCTGCTTGTTACTTCTGCATTGTGAATAATTTCTCCTCCTTTAATAACTGTATTTAAACGATGTCTTGAAATAGGATCACTGTATGCCGGTTTAGTCTTAAAATGACTGGTAATCATTCACCTTGTACTGGGGGAATCCGATAGACTCGATCCAGAGCGCCACATCCTCACCACTCCAGCGCAGGAACTCCATGTTGTGCTGAGCTGCTATGGAAACCAGTCAACAAGCCAACAGACACCATGAGTTCAATTCACAACATCACAGACACAGAATAATGCAGTTACACTGATAGATAGATAGATAGATAGATAGATAGATAGATAGAAGATAGATAGATAGATAGATAGATAGATAGATAGAAGATAGATAGATAGATAGACAGATAGAAGACAGATAGATAGATAGATAGATAGATAGTTGATAGATAGATAGCTAGATAGATAGATAGATAGATGATAGATAGATAGAAGATAGATAGATAGATAGAAGATAGATAGATAGATAGATAGAAGATAGATAGAAGATAGATAGATAGATAGATAGAAGATAGATAGAAGATAGATAGATAGATAGATAGAAGATAGATAGAAGATAGATAGATAGATAGATAGAAGATAGATAGAAGATAGATAGATAGATAGATAGAAGATAGATAGAAGATAGATAGATAGATAGATAGAAGATAGATAGAAGATAGATAGATAGATAGATAGAAGATAGATAGAAGATAGATAGATAGATAGATAGAAGATAGATAGAAGATAGATAGATAGATAGATAGAAGATAGATAGAAGATAGATAGATAGATAGATAGAAGATAGATAGAAGATAGATAGATAGATAGATAGAAGATAGATAGAAGATAGATAGATAGATAGATAGAAGATAGATAGAAGATAGATAGATAGATAGATAGAAGATAGATAGAAGATAGATAGATAGATAGATAGAAGATAGATAGAAGATAGATAGATAGATAGATAGAAGATAGATAGAAGATAGATAGATAGATAGATAGAAGATAGATAGAAGATAGATAGATAGATAGATAGAAGATAGATAGAAGATAGATAGATAGATAGATAGAAGATAGATAGAAGATAGATAGATAGATAGATAGAAGATAGATAGAAGATAGATAGATAGATAGATAGAAGATAGATAGAAGATAGATAGATAGATAGATAGAAGATAGATAGAAGATAGATAGATAGATAGATAGAAGATAGATAGAAGATAGATAGATAGATAGATAGAAGATAGATAGAAGATAGATAGATAGATAGATAGAAGATAGATAGAAGATAGATAGATAGATAGATAGAAGATAGATAGAAGATAGATAGATAGATAGATAGAAGATAGATAGAAGATAGATAGATAGATAGATAGAAGATAGATAGAAGATAGATAGATAGATAGATAGAAGATAGATAGAAGATAGATAGATAGATAGATAGAAGATAGATAGAAGATAGATAGATAGATAGATAGAAGATAGATAGAAGATAGATAGATAGATAGATAGAAGATAGATAGAAGATAGATAGATAGATAGATAGAAGATAGATAGAAGATAGATAGATAGATAGATAGAAGATAGATAGAAGATAGATAGATAGATAGATAGAAGATAGATAGAAGATAGATAGATAGATAGATAGAAGATAGATAGAAGATAGATAGATAGATAGATAGAAGATAGATAGAAGATAGATAGATAGATAGATAGAAGATAGATAGAAGATAGATAGATAGATAGATAGAAGATAGATAGAAGATAGATAGATAGATAGATAGAAGATAGATAGAAGATAGATAGATAGATAGATAGAAGATAGATAGAAGATAGATAGATAGATAGATAGAAGATAGATAGAAGATAGATAGATAGATAGATAGAAGATAGATAGAAGATAGATAGATAGATAGATAGAAGATAGATAGAAGATAGATAGATAGATAGATAGAAGATAGATAGAAGATAGATAGATAGATAGATAGAAGATAGATAGAAGATAGATAGATAGATAGATAGAAGATAGATAGAAGATAGATAGATAGATAGATAGAAGATAGATAGAAGATAGATAGATAGATAGATAGAAGATAGATAGAAGATAGATAGATAGATAGATAGAAGATAGATAGAAGATAGATAGATAGATAGATAGAAGATAGATAGAAGATAGATAGATAGATAGATAGAAGATAGATAGAAGATAGATAGATAGATAGATAGAAGATAGATAGAAGATAGATAGATAGATAGATAGAAGATAGATAGAAGATAGATAGATAGATAGATAGAAGATAGATAGAAGATAGATAGATAGATAGATAGAAGATAGATAGAAGATAGATAGATAGATAGATAGAAGATAGATAGAAGATAGATAGATAGATAGATAGAAGATAGATAGAAGATAGATAGATAGATAGATAGAAGATAGATAGAAGATAGATAGATAGATAGATAGAAGATAGATAGAAGATAGATAGATAGATAGATAGAAGATAGATAGAAGATAGATAGATAGATAGATAGAAGATAGATAGAAGATAGATAGATAGATAGATAGAAGATAGATAGAAGATAGATAGATAGATAGATAGAAGATAGATAGAAGATAGATAGATAGATAGATAGAAGATAGATAGAAGATAGATAGATAGATAGATAGAAGATAGATAGAAGATAGATAGATAGATAGATAGAAGATAGATAGAAGATAGATAGATAGATAGATAGAAGATAGATAGAAGATAGATAGATAGATAGATAGAAGATAGATAGAAGATAGATAGATAGATAGATAGAAGATAGATAGAAGATAGATAGATAGATAGATAGAAGATAGATAGAAGATAGATAGATAGATAGATAGAAGATAGATAGAAGATAGATAGATAGATAGATAGAAGATAGATAGAAGATAGATAGATAGATAGATAGAAGATAGATAGAAGATAGATAGATAGATAGATAGAAGATAGATAGAAGATAGATAGATAGATAGATAGAAGATAGATAGAAGATAGATAGATAGATAGATAGAAGATAGATAGAAGATAGATAGATAGATAGATAGAAGATAGATAGAAGATAGATAGATAGATAGATAGAAGATAGATAGAAGATAGATAGATAGATAGATAGAAGATAGATAGAAGATAGATAGATAGATAGATAGAAGATAGATAGAAGATAGATAGATAGATAGATAGAAGATAGATAGAAGATAGATAGATAGATAGATAGAAGATAGATAGAAGATAGATAGATAGATAGATAGAAGATAGATAGAAGATAGATAGATAGATAGATAGAAGATAGATAGAAGATAGATAGATAGATAGATAGAAGATAGATAGAAGATAGATAGATAGATAGATAGAAGATAGATAGAAGATAGATAGATAGATAGATAGAAGATAGATAGAAGATAGATAGATAGATAGATAGAAGATAGATAGAAGATAGATAGATAGATAGATAGAAGATAGATAGAAGATAGATAGATAGATAGATAGAAGATAGATAGAAGATAGATAGATAGATAGATAGAAGATAGATAGAAGATAGATAGATAGATAGATAGAAGATAGATAGAAGATAGATAGATAGATAGATAGAAGATAGATAGAAGATAGATAGATAGATAGATAGAAGATAGATAGAAGATAGATAGATAGATAGATAGAAGATAGATAGAAGATAGATAGATAGATAGATAGAAGATAGATAGAAGATAGATAGATAGATAGATAGAAGATAGATAGAAGATAGATAGATAGATAGATAGAAGATAGATAGAAGATAGATAGATAGATAGATAGAAGATAGATAGAAGATAGATAGATAGATAGATAGAAGATAGATAGAAGATAGATAGATAGATAGATAGAAGATAGATAGAAGATAGATAGATAGATAGATAGAAGATAGATAGAAGATAGATAGATAGATAGATAGAAGATAGATAGAAGATAGATAGATAGATAGATAGAAGATAGATAGAAGATAGATAGATAGATAGATAGAAGATAGATAGAAGATAGATAGATAGATAGATAGAAGATAGATAGAAGATAGATAGATAGATAGATAGAAGATAGATAGAAGATAGATAGATAGATAGATAGAAGATAGATAGAAGATAGATAGATAGATAGATAGAAGATAGATAGAAGATAGATAGATAGATAGATAGAAGATAGATAGAAGATAGATAGATAGATAGATAGAAGATAGATAGAAGATAGATAGATAGATAGATAGAAGATAGATAGAAGATAGATAGATAGATAGATAGAAGATAGATAGAAGATAGATAGATAGATAGATAGAAGATAGATAGAAGATAGATAGATAGATAGATAGAAGATAGATAGAAGATAGATAGATAGATAGATAGAAGATAGATAGAAGATAGATAGATAGATAGATAGACAGATAGATAGATAGATGATAGTTGATAGATAGATAGAAGATAGATAGATAGATAGATAGTATATAATGCTTAATGTACCAAGACAGTGATAAAAACAAAATTGTAAGGCATACTATGTGCAGATACGCATATAAGCCCAAAATGTGAACGCAACGTGTTTATTTACACCTTAAGCATTTTCCTCTCATATAAAGAACACGCTTAATACACTGAGAGCACATTCTGTACACACCTTACTAATAAAGAATACTATGTGCAGAAAAACTGATGAAATACAAAATATGACAAAATATGAACTTTCAATATCACTGTATACAGCATCTTCAATACTGATGTGTAGCGATTATTGAACTCCTAGCTTAGCTGATTTAGTTTTATTTTTGCATTAACTGCTTTGTATTTTGACCAATAAAATAAGAGATTTGATTGTTACGATTGACTACCATGAGACTTATAACTACAAACTGAGCCAAACTGAGCTACATTGAGTGAGTGTGTGAGTGAGTGTGTGTGTGTGTGTGTGTGTGGGTGAAGAACCGCTGGTCTACACAGAAGAAAGCCCTGTCTAGACTCTGGCCCGGTACGAGTTGTGTCGAGCTATTCATTAGTTTGTTTGTTTGATGAAAAATTTGAAATTGATAAAATGGGTTATTAATCCATACACCTGCAGCAGTGGAGGACTATTATTCTGCTGCATGATACTGCAGAAGAACTGATGACGGCACGGGTTGATCTTCGGCTGACCAATCAGCAGAAAGGGGCGTTTAATTCCCGCCCACGTGTAGAAATCCAATATTCAAGCTGTTTATTCATTTTTCCATCCATGAACAAAAAACGTAAATTTAAGCTGAATTCTCATTTCTTGTTTTTTGGAAAAAAACAAAAAACAACAAAAAGGAGCCGTTTTCTCATTTTTCTACTTTCAATATTAAATCAAAAAACGAATGATCGAATGATACACGGATTTGATGCCCATTGATTTTTTCTTTCTCTTTTAAGTTCTCTTTTATTTCATTTAAATTGTGTTTCAATTTGTACTTAATGTGTAAATGTGAGAAATATGTCAAGAACTTGCTGTTGAATTCTGTAATTTTGAAAGTTTAATGAAAAAATAATAATAATTGTTTCTCTTCCGGATCTTACTGTTGGTGGCCTTTGGAAGCTCGTTTCCACCACTGAATAAAATAAAAAAGGTTCTTGCGACTTTTAATCCCACAATTCTGACTTTTTTCTCGCAATTTGCAAGTTTATATCTCGTAATTCTGAAAAAAAAGAAATCAGAATTGTGAGATAAGAACCTTTTGTGTGTGTGTGTGTGTGTGTGTGTGTGTGAGTGAGTGTGGGTGTGTGTGTGTGTGTGTGTTGCAATATTTAACATTTGTTAATGTTAATGTTTTTTTATTATTGTTTTAGGTTTATATCAGTTAGTAATTTTAAGTTCAAGTAATTTTAACTTACGTCAGTTAGTTGCCATTGCAACATTTCTAAAATGTATTTTATGTTTTAATATTTCTAGCTTTAGTGTAATTTATATTTCAATTTTAGTTTTAGCAATTTCAGTACTTGCCAAGCAACATTTCCAGTTTTGTAGAAAATACAGAAAATGCTAGTTTTGATGCAACACTAATTAAACGCATTCCAGTTCACGATATTGCTTTATTTATTTCTCATGACGTTGACGTTCGTCTCGTGCAGAGCCGTAGAGAGAAGCCTTGTCCAAATACCCACACTTGCGGTCTTTGCACTTGACCACTTATGTGACGTATTTCCTGTATTTGGCCCAAGTGTTCAAGTGAGGATGAAGACCACAAGTGTGTGTCGAACTTTTTATTACCTGATGGGACACACTTGTAGTGTTGTAAAAATGCAAGTGTTTACATAGCTTTATTTACATTTTAATTTTAAATACTTTGCATTTTAAAATCAACTTCTAAATGTCTGTTCAGTAGTCCCTATAACATGGCATAATTTTAATTTGTGGTGCTTCTAATTAAGTGATAAAAAGCAGTTGCAAATGTTGTACAAAATAAATACTCATCTTTGCACCAATTATTCCTCACTTAATTAGTAGATTTACGGGATGTTATTCATTCTCTTCATGCAGTTTCATCCATCGTTGTGTAATTTAAAAGTGATTTTGCTGGTGGGGAGTTATTAAATAGACTTGGATATATTGCAAAGGATGCAGATGGACCAAAGTGAGAATGAAAAGTTTAATGTAGGTGAGCAGTTTTCATTTCAGAATCATGCTAGGCTAAATTTCCAAAAATGTATTATATACCACTACTATATTATAGAAGTAATTACAGTAAACCTGTACATTATTACTGTATTTTATACTTAAACGTCTTAGCTACTAAAGAAGCACTGTGCTGAAGGAGCAGTGATGCCACAGGACTGCAATGTGATGGAGCATCACTTAACCATTCCTCCTGTGTTTCTCCTTCGCTATCTTGCTTTCAGAACAAGAACCACCTGAAGACTCCCTGTAAACAGACATCAGCCTCACAATGAGTCTCTTCACTGGTTTTGGCAAGTCTTTCCCTGCTCTGTGTCTTTGTGAAAAAGTGCCAGTTCCCTAGTATGATTCCATCACATTTTGTTGGTGTAATCTATAGATTAGCTGATTATATCCAGCCTCTTACGAAGACAACATACATAAAATATATGATTAAATGTGTAAAAATATTTTAAATTGTTTTAAATTGGAATATACTACAAATATATTTTTATATATTAATAATTGAGGGGTGCACAAGAATCAAAAACATTGAACAAGATTAGTTTTCACTTAATAAAATATCTTCATTTATTTGGAATGAATTTTCTAAGACAACAAACTTAACATTTACCATGAGATTAGTAAAACGACAATGAACAGATGTATTTGTGATTGAACTTGACTAACAAGCAAGTTGTAAGAACACACACATATAATTATATTTGTATAGAGAGGCTGAAGTTACCTTGGTAGAAGACCACAATGTCATTTATATAGCATACACGGACTTTTTGTGTGTGTGTGTGATCACTCGGTGCTTCAGCAGCGGTTTGATATTGTGTATGCTGCACATGTTCAGTCCTGCACTTGAGGCTTCATCAGACAAAAAAATGCTGATTTGCTGACAGATCATATGCGAAGTGTTCCTCAAGGGCAATGTCATATTTGGAGATGAAAGATGTTAACCAATAACTGGTATAATTGTTTAACCCTCAAGCATCCTTCGTATAGCAGCCCTTAATTTGTCCTTCTTGGACAAATTTGGGCTCGAAGGTCTGATCCTAGTTTTTTTTTTTTTAAATAGCTGTCATATCA